GTCATGTAAGCTTAATGACAATACTACATGAAAAACAAGTTAAAATGTTTTAGAGCATACACAAATAGAGTTGTACCTATTGGTAAAAAAGCCAAAATTCTAAAATCAGGTATTTAACCAGACATCAGGTCAGCTCACCCTTTGATTTTTCCCATTAGAATTTGGCAGACCACACCCAAACCCTCAGACTCAACTCTCACCAAAAAAGTGGGCACCCACCAACACTTCTACCAGTACAAATTGGACACATGATGTCTAGGCTGCCTCATTCTCTTTCTTCCCTTTGGCATTTGGTAACCACGGTTTTACTATAATCCTCATTCTAGAGAAATTTCTCCCCTTCGCAGTTACTCTCCTCTGTGTCTATCAGCTGCCCTTCTCCCCTCTGGTCTTGGCAGTGGGACTATTTTCAACTGTAGCACCATCCTGGTTTGGGAACCAATCTTCCTACACTGGGGCGTTGCAGGATAGCACGAAGCCCTCTCTGACTTCACATTGTTGGCTCCACCTGGGAGGCTTGGTGCCCCTTAGAGTTGTGGAATACTTATCCAATTTTTCTAATTGCCTGGAACATAGTACATAACTTACAGTGTTCTCTCATTCATTCTCTTGTTCACTCGCTCAACAAATAACTACTGACCCAATATGCTAGGCATTGGAAGATACAAATATGAGCCAAATATTAACTTGAACCCTGACTTATGGAGCTCATAGTCTAGTGGAAGAATCAGGCTTCTTGTCAAAGAATCACACAAGCAAATGTAAAATTGCTCCTGGGACACGTGCCATCTGCTATGAATACTTTATAACAGCTTCCATGAGGAAATGTCACTTGAAGTGAAATGAGAAGCCTGCACAGACATGAACCAGGAGGAGGAGGAGGTCAACTGGAACAGGCAGAACTGCAAGTGCAAAGCCCCTGTGGTGGGAAAAGGCATAAAGAAGATGTGGAGGTAAAGGGTAGTCAGTGTGAGTGGAACCAAGGTCAGGTTGAAAGTGTGGGTGGGCGGAGGAACCGAACTGGGCAGGCCTTGTTAAGGAGTTTACCTTAATCCCAACGCAAAGAAAACCAATGAAGAAGGACTTAGCAGGGCACCAACATGGGCAGTGTGGTTTTGGAAAATTCCTTTGACTGCAGTGAAGGTGGGGGCAAGGATACATGGAGCTTCTGTCTCACAAGCTGTCCCTCGGAAAGAAGCCAAACCCCATCCACAGCTGAGTCCTTGAGACCTGGGTATGAGAAGGAACAGCAGGTGGAAGATGGTCTCAGGAAAGAAAAAAGCCGGAGTTGGACTAGAAAAAAGAGCAGTCAGTACTTTGTTCACCAGCTGAAGGACCTCATCGAAACATTCCAGGTGGTTTGTTGAACATGCAGATTTCAAGGCCCCTTCCAGTAACCTCTGGTCTGAATCTATGGAAGTGAGACCTGGGACCCTGTCTTGGTGTTCTGAGCCACCCAGGGCTAAAAATGTTATTGTCTAAGGCACACAGATAAGTTGGAAAACTATGAGACTGAAACTATTCAGAACCCCATCAACTCTTCAGCATGAGCCCTGAGCAAACAGAAGAAAACACAGATGATGTCTCCCACAGGCCAAGACAATGCATCTCCCAGTGCCCTGGCCTTTGTTACAGGACCTCTTTCGGCCTGTTTGCTCATGTCTGTAGCACATTGCCAAAGCTCTCCGCAATTCATAATCCATTCTGATTCCTATCTTTCTTACACATGGTGATATCAAGTATTTTACCTTAATTTCATTCTGATTGCCAGTTGAGATTTGCTCATAACACTTTAAATCAGGGGTCAGCACATTGTAATTCATGGGCCAAATCCAGTTGCCCCGTGATTTGGTATGGTCCAGAAGCTAAAAAAAATTGTAAGACTATTTCATGACATAATAAAATTATATGAAATTTAAATTTAGTGTTCACAAATTCAGTTTTCCTGGAACACACAAGTGTGCTTATTCATATTATCTATGGCTGTTTTTGCTCCAGACATACCCTACCAAGGCAAAATTGAGTAATTGCGATAGAGACCATATGGCCCACAAAGTCTAAAATATTTACTATAATTTTTTTTTAAAAACAAAATTTCTGAGTCATGCTTTAAATGAACCTCTCAGCCTCTTTGGTCGAATTACTAATAAATTACCAAGCTCCTGTGAAGCAAGTAATTAATTTGTAATACAAATAACTGCCCCATAATTTAAATCCTTCGTAAGCTGGACTTTTCATACTAAATTTTCCTGAGGCTAGACATGCCCTCACCTCTACATACTATGACTAACTTACTGTTATTCAGGTAAATCCCCAACTTTGTAGGGGATCTAATATTATCAGCCCACTGTATATTGCCTACACTGCTCCAGAAGTCATAAGGCAAAAACCAGCAGCGTCTCTACTTCAATTCTAATTGATTTATCTGAAACGAAATTAATTACTTTTGGCTTGAAACCCAATGTGGGTTAATATCATACATATGAAGGATAAGATTGTATGAATATGCAAAATGCCTTCGGAAACAGTAAAACTCAGATAATTTGCACCAATGACAAGGAGGCCCAGGACAGATTAGCACATTTCTTGGGAGGGAGGGTTAATTGAAAAACAGATGTAAGTTTACAGAATCACCCTGGAAACTGTGCCCAGATAGACACACACTGTTGACGAGAGCCTATCAGTAGAGATACCATAACATATTTGGTAAACACAATGGGAGCTGCACTTGTAGGAGACCTCATTACAGCCCTTGGCTATGAAATCTGGGTGGGGAAGCAGGGTGAGACTGCTGGGTCTTCGGTGAGAAGTACTGACTTTGTGGATTATTAAGGAGGTGAGAACCAGTAAATAAGTGGGGTGAGGCACACAGCGCTTTTCAAAATGCATTCTATCTTTGATATTTGGATGGCTAGAGACATTCATTCCCAGATTCAACTAGATTCCAGGAAATGTCTTCTTAAACATAATTATCGTTTGGGTTGGTTTTGATTTTTTTTGTACCAGATACCACTCCTTATAGCAGTAAAATCTTTTAAAGGAGAGAAATTAGACGAGGAGAAACAAAACAGACTGCTAATAAATAACCTGTGGATGTCATATTCCCTAGCTCTTCCAGCTCTTAATAGGCTCTTGAGAGAGCAGAGAAATTTAAAACCCAGGGGGAAAGGAAATTAAAGTTACTTCCTCTACTGTGGGCTGGGCCTGAGCATTCTATCAATAATACAGAGTTCATTTTTTTATTTCTACTGCCCAATCTATACAGTTTTCCTAATCAATAACTTGTTAATCAATTACTTGTTGACCATCAATTCAACAAGTATTTACTGAGCATGTGAGAAGTACCAGTTAAAACCTCTGGCAGTTCTACGGAGCTGTAAGAAGTAGTGCCTGCTATGTTGGTCAGGGTAGGAGAGATGCTGTCACTAAAAATGCCAGTATCTTCTTGTTAATGAACACATTACTATATGAGTTAGTTTCTTGCTCATTTAATGTCTTAGTGTGAAAATTGGGTCCCAGGCTCCTTCCACCTTGAAGCAGCTTCCTGGGTGGAGGAGGAGCAAACTGATAGGAATTGGTGATGAAGTTGAAAGGCTGCATTTGGTCACTATGTTCAAGAATCTCCCTCTTTCAGATTTCTGGAATATTAGGCCTAATAAACTCAATGTTACTTTTTAAGGAAGATGCTGAAAAGATTTATCTGTAGCTTCATCCTGGCTCGAGTCCTCAGTGACTTGGCTTCCACATTTCCCAACCTACTCTCATGTCCTATCCAATCACACACCTTAACTAACTGGAGTCTCATCTGTCTGAAAATAAACTAACACTGTAATGGGGATTCTACTTCATGAAGAGCTAAGCCAATAAGTTTAAAACTTGTACTCGGTGAAAATTAAAGCACTGACTAAATTATCTATGCAAAAAGGCATGTCACGCGGGATTGATGACACGATGATTGTTGGAGGCTGAGGGCAAAGTATGAGAGTGGACCCCAAAATACCAGGATTATCTTCTGGAGGGTAGGCCCTTTGTAGAACAAGTTTCCCCCACTAGGTGAGCGTTCTAGGAACCCACCTGTAACAGTGTACCAGCTGGTATTATTGTGAGAGGCTGCGTTCAGCTTCAGTGAATTTGTTTTGAAGACCCTTTCAATGTATTTGTGCCCATTTCATGATGGGTGATTTACAAGTGCATCTGCACACATTGTGCTGAATGTTCAGCAGTTTTTGACAAGAAAACACATAACGCCTATACCCCACCCTCCATAATTACCCAGTTTTGCCCCGAGTGACTTTTTTTGTTGTTTCTGTGAATGAAAAAAGTCTTCAAAGGAAAATGTTTTGCTGATGTGGAAGAGGTGAAACAAAAAACAGCAGGAGCACTAGAAAGCATCAGTGGGGAAAAAAGTCCTGATACGTGTATTGCATCAAATGGAGCGTAAGTCTTTGAAGGTGGCTGAAGTTTAAACATGTAAGAATAAGTACACCACTTTTATAAATAACCTCTGTTTGGGGGTCCCCCTTGTATATTAAATGATACATGAACTGGTGTCCAAAGATGGTTCCCAATGCACGGCAACCCCAGCCTTCCTTCCCCTGTACAGTCCTCTCAGAGGCTGAGTCTGGGCTCAGCCCGTGACTCCTGTCAACTGTAGAATGCAGGCGAAGTGACACCAGGACAGTTCTAAGCCCTAAGCCTATGAGAAGGCCTAGCAGCCTTGAGCCACAATGCAAGTAAGATGTTCAGCTACTTTGCTGGAGGGACCACGTGGAGGAGAGATCAACTGAAGGAGAGAAAAAAGAAAACCAGCAACTCTGCCCTCTGCCCCCACCAGTGGAGGCCCCGGGCTCACATGTCCTTGCCAAGGTGCCAGTGAGGCGTGTGAGTGAAGAATCACAGGTGCTAGTGCCCCACCCACAACCTGACTCCAGCTAGAGAGAGACCCTAAGTGAGATCAGCTGGAGAAGCATCTGACAAAACCTATTTAAAACTAATGGGAGAGCAGATGATGGCTTTTCCTCATGACGGTCTGTGGAAGCCACCATGGGCAGTGCCGATGATGCCAATGGTTTAGCTATGCCCGGAGGAGCACAGAGCCGGTACAGGGGTGGGTGTGTCTTCTGCTTCAAGCCTGGCGAGATAAATTAGATTATGAAAGTTCCAGGATCCCCTGAGACGGGCTATCAACCCCACTCTCAGAGCCACTCTCTCCCTAATCCAGGCTCCCATTTCTTAACAGTCTTATTCCCCACCCCCTCAACTCTACCCCTCTCCACTCTGCTTGCCTACCTGGGGCACCTGGCTCCTGGGGTGGCCTGAGGGCACTAAGACGTTCTGGCCGCTCTGTAGGAGAAGAGGAAGGAGAAGGCTGGGATCCATTACCAAAAGAAAGAGCAGCCCCGTGAGACCACAGAGACAGCCCGAAAAGAACGTGGAGAAGAAAACTGGCAGACATGCCGAGGTCCTCGAGACTCACGGACTCCTGGGCCGATCCCAAGAAAATTAACTTTTAATTCCTCGGAAACAAAAAACAAAAAACAAACAAAAAAACCTAATGGGGGAAATAGCACGCAAGTGGTCTCTGAGGTCAGTCCTTGTTGAGGCTTAAGCTGGCTTAGTTCATTTGAATATCCACTCTTCAGAATGACAACTCGCTGAATATATAGAATAATAAACTGGCTGTCTTTTAAGCCCCTAAATATTGGAGTGGTTTGTTATGTAGCAATATGTAGCCAAAATATATGTTAAGGCAGAAATTTAGAGTGAAGACAGGGCCTCTCGAACCCACAGGACGATTTATTTTCAGAGCTGGATTTTCCATTTTGTTGAACGGTTTCATACCTCTAACCAGAGCCTGGCCACCTTGTTACGGGTGATACAATAATTCAAATGTGAAATTATTGCACGTGGAAAATATTTTTAGTACACTCCTGACTCCTAGACATTTAAGAATGCTTTTATTTATTTAAGAAATTCAAACATGAACTTCCTTGAGATGCACCGGAAGCGGGAGCCGAGAATGCAGACAAAAGCCATCTTCTAAGGTGGACCCACCACTGCGGAAAGCGTGGAAACTTGTTTCATTTCTCAAAAGCACGAGGCTTTCTGAGTCAGGCCTTCAGTCCAGTGAAGGTCTAAAAGAGTAAAGTAACACACTCACACGGGCTCATGAAATCATAATAATAATAAAAAGCCTCAGACCTCTTTTTTTTTTCAGCTGTGAAGCAGCACCTGCCATGAGCTGTGGTGGTTCCTATTTTCATATTGTCTGACAGTAGCAGTTGGATCAGGCTTGAGCCAGTGTGACTGAGAGGCAGGCTCCCTGCTTCCACAAAGCTGAATTTAATAAGATGAGAACAGCATGCCAAGATGGGGAGCTCCCTCCCTAACACTTATCCTGACACCAGCCCCTCAGCGGGGCCGTATTGCCACGGTAATCTGGGTGAGCCGGACGGAGCGTCCTGCTTACAAGTTCAATATAATGGAACAGCAGGGGGCAGAGGGCTGGCAGAAAAGCTTAGCAAAGTTAAAGCCTATTACTCTATGCTTGAAGAAAAATGAGTCACAAAATATTACACCCAGAGCAAGACTTGAACTTGCCAAATGCAGCAGCAACACACACTAAACCTTGTCCATAATGGTGCATTCATTATTCTGTGGTCCAGGGTAATGTGGATTTAAATGTCTTTAACTGTAATGGAAATGTATATGCAAATTTCCAGTAAACCCATCTCTCGCTTTTCTTTTGCCCTGTTTGAATCTGATAGGCAAGGTGACTATACTCTACATATGTCAAAGAAAATGATGCCTTTTTAATGTGCCTTTAGTGACAAGAAGGTAAAAAACCAGAGAGAAAGAAATCTTTCAGCTGCCTAGTATGGCCTTTGTTATTGTTGTTTTATGACACGTGTGATGAATTTAAAACTGATGGAAGAAATAGCAAGCAAGTGGTCTAGGGGTTCGGTCCTGTTTGAGGCTTAGGCTGGTTTAGGCAATTTGAAGGTCAGCTCTTCCATATTAGTGAGTTCTAACACAAACTCTTCCATACCAGTTAATCAAATCAAACTCAGATTTGGAACAGACTTGCCTCATACTTTCAATCACCCAGAACCAATCTAGGGCTCTAATTAAAGAACCATTATTTAGTATCCAGAACATCATGCTGTTCTAGGACTTGGTTTTTTTTTTTTGAAAGAGTAACTATAGAACTAAGGCAGGGGGCTTCTGCTCCCCCTGGACTAGCTACAAGTTCTTACTATAACAAAGACTACTCAGATCATCAGGTATGGTGTCAATGACAGTAGCCACCAACTACTGAGCTCTTACCATGGGCCAGGTGCTTGGTTTGATGCTTTGTATTTATTACCTCTAATCTTGATGTAGTGGTTTATATATTTCCTCACACTGTTTCTCAGGTTTACAAAAATATTTCAGCTTCTTTATATTTAGTTAATAAGTTTTCTACACGATCTTTTCATAGGGAAACAAACTTAAATGTCAGACTTGCCAAATTGTCTTTCATTACCTTCCAGTTTCAAGTCTGTTTGGATGTGTGGTATCTCTCAAATATATACGCAGTCTTCTAGATTTCCTTTCCATTCTTTGCTCCTTTTGAAGATGGTGTCTGGATCTCATATGCCTAGTGCCAGTGGAGACTGGGGAGTCCAGACCACGTGGTAACTTCTGGATCCCTGCAGGCCTCTGTGCTGGGATGGCTGGTCTCGCCAGCTGCATGGATTGGTGAGCAACCAGGTCCTACCTGACCATTAGGAGCTTCTTGCTGTGGTTCTTGACTATTAACTCTGTTCATGAATTCCTCACACATGCAGACTCTGACCATCCCAAGAAGTACTGCAGTCCACTTCCTGTCTCTGAACCTCTGTGTCCCCACATGAGGACATATAGGTACCCTGCATGCCAGGTGCAGGCCAAGCAAAGCAAGCCCACTTTCCCATGCTTATCTCTCCAATTCGTCTGTCAGCTATGGTGTATTTTTATTCCTGTTCCATGAGGACCTGGTGCAGAGATGAGTATGGGATTCTTCTTAAGATCTTCGCTACGTATAAGGAGGTAGACAGCTAACCTTGATGTTGTGTGGGGGGTCTCCTAGACCCATGTGACCATTTCTATTATCCTCTTACTTAAGCGGGGCACCAAGAATGAAGGATATGGGTATTTTGACATTTGACCTCCTCTCTCTATCTTTCCTAACTTTCTTTTATTTAACATGCCCTAGGCCCTGAAACAGGGCTTGCCCAATCATCTTCCTGCCTAACCCAACTCCCTGCATACCCTGAGTTCTTGTTGCATTATGACTGTGTTATTAGGTTCCTCAGAAGCAGACAAGGATTCAAATAAAGCTAGTCTGTTTGGAAGGGGAAGGCATCACCAGAAGAGGAGTGGAGAAGTGAGAGAGAGAAGGGAAGGCAATTTAGGTCAGTTACCCCTGTGGGCAAATAGCTTTAATCCCAAGGGGAAAAAATCTAGGTACCAGAATAGAGCACATGTTCAGAGTTACTAACCCAAGGATTGAGGAAACTGCAGCATTAGAATTTTTTTAATCCTCACTGAAGGAGATTTTTTCCTTACTTTTAGAGAGCAGGGAAGGAATAGAGAAAGGGAGAGAGAAAAACATTGATTGGTTGCCTCCAACATGTGCCCTAGACTGGGGCTGGAATCTGAAATCCAGGCATGTGCCCTGAATGGGAATTGAACCTGAAACTCTTTGGTTACAGGATGAAGTTCCAGCCAACTGAGCCATACCTGCCAGGGTGAAACTGCAGCATTTATACATCATTTCTTGTGACTCATTGATTGAGGACCACTCTGCCTGAGATGATGAAACTGTTCTTATATACATGTAGAATGAAGACATACAGATGGCAAATAAGCATATGAAAAGATGCTCAACACCATGTGTCACTGGGAAATGTGAATTAAAACAATGAGATACCACTATATACCTATTAGAATGACAAAAATAAAAAACCCCACAACAATACAAAATGTCAGTGAGGATGTATAGAAACACATTCCTGTAGATGGTTGGAATGCATGATAAAGACGTGTTGGAAAACAGTTTGGCAGTTTCTTACCAATTAAACATACTCTTACCACATATGATCCAGCAATGGCATTCCTTGTTATTTACCTAAACAATTTGAAAACTTATGTCCACAAAAACCTGCGCACAAATGTTTATAACAGTTTTATCAGTAATCACCAGTTTGCAAGCAAGCAAGAAGTCCTTCAGCAGATGAATAGATAAATAAACCATGGTACATCCAGACAATGGATTATTACTCAGCAATGAAAATAAATGTGTTGTGAAGCCATAAAAAGATAGGGAGGCAATGTAAATACACATTACTATGTGAAAGAAGCAAATCTGAAAAGGTGACATACTGTATGCATCCAACTATACAATATTCTGCAAAGAACAAAACCCCAGGATTACACAAGATGCTTTCAAAATTACTGATGCCTAGGTCTCTTACCATGGGTTTTTTATCTAATAATAGGTCGAGGGTAAGGCCTGAGCATTGGGATTTTTTAAAAACTTTTTGGGTAGCTCTAATGAGAATCCATGGCCAAGAATCGTGGTCCTGGATGCATGCTAGCAGAGCCTGGCATCTCAGAGTGTGCTCTTAGGTCAGCAGCATCTACATCATTATAGAAATGCGCAAACTCAGACCCCAGCCTGACCTGACTAATGAGAATCTGTGTTTTTAATAAAATTTCCCAGAGAACTTTTGTGCACACTGAAGTTTGAGAAGCCCTGAAACAGAGTCCTCTTACCTAACTGACTGCAGAGGGCACATCACCAGATCAGACCTTTGCCCCATATGAGCTCCTCCTTCCTGAGATACCAGGATCTAAGGCAAAATAAGGAACCTACCACCTCTGCCCTTGACCCGCAGGCAGTGGTTTTTACCTTCTGTTTTGCAGGCATGGACCTGAGGAGCCTTTTCTCTTCCCCCCCATTTCTCCTCCCCATCTTCCGAGACTCAGTTGCCACTTCCAGACACAGCCTTTATCACACCTGTTTATTAACACCAAGGCAGCAAACTTGGATTCAAGTGAAGA